GAAGAGAAGCTTGAGGAAATTCCATACCTCCCGACTGAGGGTGGCTCCGCCATACCAGTGGCAGTTGCATCCGAGGGGCAGTCCGGACTTTCATCCTCCAGCAACCGAGCCTGGAGGTTTGAGTCTACATTGTTGGGGGGAACTGTAAGACCACGACTAGAGCCGAGAGTTCTGCCTCTGCCAGGAAATCTACTGTCTTCAGTTGACTGGATGGGAGAAAAAACAGCAGATTTGATGAGAAGGCGTCCCCACAAAAGCAAGGATAAGTCACAGAAAGCATCCTCGGCATGGTTCTAATTCATAAATCTCGTTCAAGTGATAATAAAAGGGGGGCCCGGTGCTCAAATCGTTCCCGTTCAAGTGATAATGCACGGAAAAATTAATAGCAAGTACCTGAGTTGATGATGTTTCGCTCTGTGGAATCCATGAAGTCAAAGGTCTCCAAGCATTTCCTGTAAGGAGACCCCTGATCACAAAGAAAATATTAGTAGGGTGCTCTCTAGGGTAAGCAGTTCCAGTTGTAGTTAGGACATCCAACCTGGTTGATGTGTTATGTCCAGAAAAGGTCGGAATGTAGCTGGAAGGATTCGCGCCAGTGCACAACTTGAATTTGGGCCACCTTACGAAACTAGACTGAGGAAGTATCAAGATAGGTTCAGGACGATAAAGACAACGAGGCATAAGCGAGACAAGCCTAATACATAAGACTGACTTTGAACAATAGTAACACTATTAAATGGTTGGCCGTTGGGACCAACATAGCAAATAATAGTGCCGCCACATGACAGTACATATATGTTACGAACCCAATATCAGGATGTTATACAGAACAGATAAACACAATCACTCAAACTGTATTTCACTCCAAAGGAAAAGAAAATACAGATTAAGACCCCAAAAGAAAAGAGAGACCTTCTCTCTATCCCTTACAACTTCAATAAGCAAAAGCATACCCCCTCGCAAAACCCATGTGCAAGGCTAAATAGGAAAACTCAACAACACTCTGCTGAGGTGGACAATTCCATCAGACAACAAAACATATCCATACCAAACAGAAAAAGTAAATGATAGGTATTTAGGCTGTAAAGTACCCAATGATACTCTCCATTTTTTGTGTGCTGCTTCCATGATCCTTTGTCCCCAATTATGTTGTTTGTTAGCTGTTTTCCATCGTTCCTCTTCGTCGGTTCCTCACGTAAGCACGAAAGGGCATATCAATATAACCCGTCAGAGATTTGCAAATTCTGGTTGGTTTCTCAATAGCAAAAGAATGCAAGTTTTGGAAGTTTAATTTCTGTACTCACCATCCATGAAGAAGACTCAGTGGCAGAGAAAAAGGAAGAGCCAGGCATTAGGAAGTTGAAGATGCCATAAGAATCTGAAATTTAAAGTCATCAATATATCAGTTGCAATAAGACTAAACGTTATAAGTAGAAAACAGTAATGAGACAGGTAAAAACCATACATGCAAATCCAGACACGATGCCACACAGGTGCCCGAGCAGAGAAACATTTGTCATGAGGAGCTGGAATGCAATCAGTAAGATCCACGATACCTGTAAGTGGATACCAATTGTACATCATATTTTCGATAAGAAACACAACACGGATTATAAGATGTTAGAGAGGCAGACGATGGGTTTACAATTTCGCTGGCACATTGAAGAGGCCGAACACACTGCACAGAGAAAGAAAATAGCAAACATCAGCTTGAAAACCAAGAGAGTTTAATCTTACTGAGCAAATTATGAATATCATGGATATAGCAAAATAACCAACATATTCAGTAAATTTTTAAACTTCATATTGCATAGAGACAAAGCAGTGCACACTGCACTTGCAGAGGTGTACACAGTTTTATCTACTTCTTAGCGGCTGATTGTGCGATTAACCCAAGCTCATGGTTTTTTGCACTATAACCATCGGACCAGATGGCCAGTAATAAGATAAGTACCTATAGGAAGACTAACCTCCTCAAATGGACTCCGCTGAGAGTTGTCTCTATGACAATCTTAGAAAACAAGATCCCTGAAAACCCTATTGAGCACTCAATCATGATCTGATCATATGGATGAAAAGGATTGTATGCCACCAAGGATGCAATAAGAAGATGTAATACGGCATTGGTTGTTGCCAGCAGAATTGTCAGGTAAAGCAAACAGACAGACCCCATGATCCTCTCCAGCTCAGAACCCATAGGAACCAATGGCATCATGTTGAACATAACATGAAGCAGTGATCCATGAAAAATAACGGGTGTATAAATCCGATAAACTGAAGCACAATGGAAAACAAAAAGGAGGGAATGAAGAGAAGTATCAGGAAAATGGACATAGATAGGCCAAAATCATTTTTAGAATGCAAAAACCTTTCAGAATTAGTACATTTTAGAAGCAATAGGAATCTCAATAACTAGGATATTCCAATAACAAGATCATATAGGATAAATGTTAACAGTTCCTTCTACATGCACACCCGAGACTGTGAGAACATACCTTGAAATCGAGACAGAACTGCCGAGGGTAAGAAGCAAACTTCGTAGAACGAGTCATATCCAGCCAAGAGGCAAACCAAGTAAATAGCCCAGCAAACCACCACCACCGATGAGGTAAGGAACGATATCGACTCCCACCACTGTCCAACTCTAGTTGGAACTCCAGCCTGGCAGAGGTAAAGAATCCAGAGCAATTCACACAATCCACATCCAATATCGGCCATTACCAACCTAACCAAAACCCTAATTAACAGATCCCAAAGTAGAGAAAATCTGACCGTGTGCCCTTCCTAATAATGCAGATATTTACACAATTGAGTCGCAATGGAGGGCAACAACATTGTAATCTAAAACCATAGATATTCTTAGAAACGATCACTCTCTCGTAGTGAAAAGCCACTGGTGTAGCTATGGATCACGGAATCAAACTGAGACACAAGGAAGCAGCTAAAACCCTACATTTATTAAGCGCTGGACATTCAGATGAGAATGGGCATAAGAAATCCTCCTCTGATGGGCAATTTTCCCGAGAAACGGAAGTTTATCCAGATCGCAGCACCAAGCTAGTCAACTCTAACAACGAGCGAACGAACAAATCGTCGGAGGTCACAACAAGTTCTCTCTTGAACACGGCTACTAGTTTGCTTACGGTTTCTCAGCATCCAAACAAGCAGAAACATCGGCGATTTCTGAGCAAAATCCAAGGGACAGGACGAAAGGTTACCGGATCTCACCTCGGAAACAATGTTCGGTCTCATTTCCCGTGTTACGACGGAATTCTTCCTTTCACCGCTGCTTTGCGTTTTCGAATTCAACCACCATGGAAAAACTCGACTCTCCTTTCTATTTTGTTTTTCTGGTTTGTTTATTTCATGCCAGGTGGGGCCCACACCGGAATTTTTCCGCGGAAAAACAATACAACACAAGACGTTTGAAAGCTTGTGAAACTGAAAAAAAATCCTGAAATTTGTATTTTTTAAGATCTAAATTTTATCATACGTTATATTTTAATATTTATATTTGATAAACTCGACTAAACGATGTAATTTAAATATAAAAAGAATACATGGAATTAGATATTAAATAAAAAATTGAAGTACGATGGAAGTTCTTGTTAAATTGTCATATATAGACCACCGAGATCATCTACTAAGACTTGGCCTTGCAACAAAGTTACAGAGAACAACGGAGATGCCCCACTAGAAAGCTTGACAAGGCTCATCAGAGGAGGCAGCAACAGACAGGCACGGGCTTGATAACCAATGCCAAATGGGACCTAAAATCGTTCAGATTGGCTCATCATAATCATCAGCAAATTCACACGAATCAAACCCTTTTACGACAAAGAAAGAAAAAAATGTGCAAGAACACGACACGAAAGTTGGTTTATGTTCTTGGAATACAGAAGTTGGTTCCAAGAACTGTTATCAGGGAAGGAACTTACTATTACTAGGTCATTTGGCTTCTTCTTCCCAGCCCCCTAACCCGGTTCCGGGATTGTAGCTCGTAAATACCCGAAATGCGTTTCCGAGTTTGCTAGAGTGTTGTGGCCGGAATACGCACGGGCGAACACCCAATAGCTCAGCAGCACGCTCTCTCTGCACCTCTCCTACGAGACAGAGGGCCAGTTACTAACTTAACGTCACGGCATGTTTCGACAAAGTAATCTCGAGAAAACAGGGAACATACCTGTGAGAAGAAGCAACAAAGAATCCACGGGTCTCACGAGGAATGAAACTGTTTGACTTACTTTTTCCAGACACTCCTTACTCTGCCATCAGAAATGGGTTGGTATCACACTAGAAACTCTTCTGAAAAACAAGAACTTGAATCATTTATGTTCAACCCATGTTATCATATGTGAATGATTCTTCGAAGCTGAGAGCTAAAATGTGCATGATCTTTCCAAAACCCGGGACCCTAATGCATGCCATGAGCTCATCCAGAGAGCACATAAGGGCAAACCTAAAATCCAAGTCAAAGTAGAGACCTTTTGCTTCTTAAAAAGAAGCTCCATAACACAGGAAGGATTTGATGCGCAATATATGAATAGCTTGTCAAAGCAGAGAGCTTTTGAATGCTAAAGGTTTCCATGTTGAACTCTCAAGAGCTATCAAGTAGTAGGCTAGTAGCTAACAATCTCCCATTAACAAAGCACCACCTAAAAGGAAGAGATTTTACCAGGTAAGGAGGATCTGCAACGATAACATGGAAGCTATGTTTGAGCTCTAATGGCATATCTTCTGGTTCATTATAATCATAAAACGTGAACTCGTTTCCGTATCTCTCGAATCTCTTATCATATTCCAGCAATTGCACCCGGAGACTCGGATCCCTCTTCTGAACCATCACATGAACACATATCAATACAGTATCCAAAATGCTAGCAAGTTCCAGAATTACAAGACTGTTCATAGTCCATACTACCTTGAGGTAAACGTAAAGCGTTGGGCAAGCGATGCAAGCGATTCGGCAACCGGAGAATCTACTCGAGAGAGCGAGGACTTCCTCTGCGACAGTCTCTGCGGTATCTGGCTCGTACCAGAACTGACTCAATCGCCAATCCTCCGACACCAACGATACCTCGTCGGAATCTTCTCCGCCGCCTCCCGACTTCTCCGGCTCCGCGGTTGCGTCGGATCTGTTCTGGTCGGCTAGGAATTCCTGGAGCGCCGCCAAAGTCTGGGAGCTTAACATTGGGGGGTCGTCATCGTCTTCGACCTGTGTAGCTGAAACGTTATCGTTGTGGGGAAATTCGGTCGCTATGGTGACAGAAGTCGGCTTTCTGAGATCTTCTTCTTCCATGGCTTCTCGGATTCCGAGTGGGTTTTAGCGAAAGCAGGCCGTCGTCTGTGCGAAATCTTGGTTTAGGGTTTTGCATTTCTCTTTTTATATATAAAAATCGAATTTTTCTTACGCGATGCCAAGAAGAGTGATGATGTATAACGAAATCGATCTCTGACTTTTTATTATTTTTATATTTCATAATTAATCTTCAAATGATGGTTAATTAATTAAATTTGATAAAAATGTGATACCGATTAGTTTCTAAAAGCCTAAAACATGGGCCCACTGAGGCCCATTTACAACCGAGCTAAAAAAATACCATAGACGGAGCATCTAATGTACAAGAGCCTTTTAGGGTTTTTATTTTTCTTCTTCTTCGAGCGGCCGAAATTGTCACCTTGGCATCTCTCCCGAATCTCAGGTATGCCTGCTTCTCTCTCTTGTACGGATTGAGAAGCTTCGACACAACTGTCGGAGCGTTCCGCCGAGACGAATCGATTTGCTGATCTCTAGGCGCCGTTTAATGGATTTGCTGCTTTTCAGGCGGTATTTAGGTTATGCGGTTTCGTTTCTCCTCTGAATTGGAGGAAATGTTATTATGTGTAGAATTTTAGACCATTAAGTGTGTGTGTGGATGTTCGACGTGGTGTTCTGTCATGACTCTGATTTGGTGGTAATTCTGCTTCTCGATGTCTGTAGTTGTGTCACCATGAAATTTTTGTCATCAGAATCAGCTCCTTTGTTCTTTAGAAAGGTGTAGATGGGTTTTAGTTGTTTGAGAGTATCTAAAGTTCGTGTTCTTGGAATGGATTTAATTGTCTTCTGCCTGTTAGCTTTTATATTCCCTGGTTCTGGGTTTTCTTTTAAGTTGGCTTATCTTACATTTTCTCTTGTGGAATGCAGGTTCTGGTACCTTTCTTTGTTTAGAGTTTAGCTTCTGCTAAGAAAGATGGCTTCTCGTTTTTTCGCTCAGGTTTCCTTCCTTGACTCCTGTTTACCATATCACAATTGCTTTATCTCGGTTGTATTGACTTGCCCATGGCATGCTTACTCCATTTTCTGTGACTTTTTGCCTTGCTAACAGGGTGGAAGTGACAGTGAAGATGAGAGTGAGTATGAGGAAGAGGTCGATGAGATCCCAGGTGGCGATTCTGCCAGTGGGATTAATTCGCGATACCTTCCGGGTAATGCAAGTGACAGTGACGATTCTGAGGGGCAGAGACGCGTGGTTAGGTCAGCCAAAGATAAGCGTTTTGAAGAGATGACCAACACTGTAGAGCAGATGAAGAATGCCATGAAGATCAATGACTGGGTTAGCCTGCAGGAGAACTTTGAAAAACTCAACAAACAGCTAGAAAAAGTTATGAGGGTTACAGAGGCTGTGAAGGTTCCTACAATGTACATCAAAACTCTTGTGATTTTGGAGGACTTCTTAAATCAAACTCTGGCAAATAAGGAAGCGAAGAAGAAGATGAGCCCTAGCAACTCCAAGGCATTGAACTCAATGAAACAGAAACTGAAGAAGAACAATAAGTTGTATGAAGATGCAATTAATAAGTATAGGGAGTCTCCACAAAGTGAGGAAGAGAAGGAAGAGGAAGATGAGGAAGAGGAAGATGAGGAAGAGGAAGATGAGTTTGAGGATGATGTTACGAACATAGAGGCAGAATCTGAAGAAGAGGATGAGGAATCTGCAGACAAGGGAGATCGCTCGTGGGAGAAGATGCTGAGCAAGAAAGATAAGCTTATGGATAAGTTGTTTATGAAAGATCCGAAGGATATTACCTGGGACTCTGTCAACAAGAAGTTCAAAGAAATTGTGGCTGCCCGTGGTAGGAAGGGAACTGGAAGATTTGAACAGGTTGAACAGCTTACATTCTTGACTAAGATTGCCAAGACTCCTGCACAGAAGCTCGAGATCTTGTTTAGTGTTATTTCTGCACAGTTTGATGTGAATCCGGGTCTCAGTGGACACATGCCAATCAATGTGTGGAAGAAGTGTGTGCAGAACATGCACACCATACTAGACATTCTTGTCAAGTACACTAACATTGTTGTGGATGATACTGTCGAACGTGATGAGAATGAAACTCAAAAACCAGCTGATTACAATGGAACGATTCGGGTCTGGGGCAACTTGGTTGCCTTCCTAGAGAGGATAGATACCGAGTTTTTCAAGAGTTTGCAGTGTATAGATCCTCACACCCGTGAGTATGTGGAGAGACTGAGGGACGAGCCCATGTTTTTGGCTCTCGCCCAGAACATCCAAGACTACTTGGTGCGGGTTGGGGATTTTAAAGCTGCTGCCAAGGTTGCATTAAGACGAGTTGAGCTTATTTATTACAAGCCACAGGAAGTTTATGATGCTATGAGAAAATTGGCCGAGTTGGTGGAAGAAGATGAAGAAAGTGAGGATCCCAAGGAAGAAAGTGGGCCTCCATCTTCCTTCATTGTCTCTCCGGAGGTTGTACCTCGCAAGCCCACCTTCCCCGAGAGTAGCCGAGCTATGATGGATATGCTTGTGTCTCTTATCTACAAGTATGGAGATGAACGGACTAAAGCTCGTGCGATGTTATGTGATATATACCACCATGCTTTGATGGACAGATTTTCAACTGCTAGAGACTTGTTGCTGATGAGTCATCTGCAGGACAACATTCAGCACATGGACATCTCGACACAGATCCTCTTCAACAGGACCATGGCTCAGCTCGGTCTATGTGCTTTCCGGGTCGGAATGATCACTGAGGCTCACAGCTGCCTTTCTGAGCTGTACTCTGGTCAAAGGGTGAGGGAGTTGCTTGCTCAAGGTGTCTCGCAAAGTCGTTATCACGAGAAGACCCCCGAGCAGGTTGTATTGTCTCAGATCTTACTTTTTGTTGCATTACTCCGTATATTTATACTCCAAGTATAGCTCATTATATAAAATTTTTCGGTCCGACAGGAAAGGATGGAAAGGAGGCGGCAAATGCCATACCATATGCACATAAACCTCGAGCTCCTGGAAGCTGTTCATCTCATCTGTGCCATGCTACTGGAAGTCCCGAACATGGCAGCCAACTCACATGAGGCCAAACGCAAGGTGATCAGCAAGAATTTCCGTCGCTTGCTCGAGATAATCCATTTTACCTTGGGTCAAATGATCAGACGAATCTCGTTCTGGTGTCGAAGATTCTTACTGACCATTCTGATTTCAGTTCATGGCATCGTTCGATGTCTATGGCTTTGGAAGGTCGAAACAAGCTTGGTTTTGTGGATGGGAAAATT